TGGGTCTAAAATAGACTCAAGTGTGGACTTAGTCTNATACCCGTAGCACTATTGACTATACAAAGGTCTTTAGTTTACTTTTATTATTATTATTATTGTTGTTGTTGTTATTATTATTATTATTATTATTATTATTATTATTATTATTTTAAATCTTATCGGTTGGGTTCAGTTTAATTGAACCCTTATGGGGCGGCACCGATACCGAACTAAATTACCTCCGATAATCTATATAATTTATCATTATTGCCACATTCATCGCATGGTTCATGCACTAGTTTATACAAAAATGTTTGATGCTTATGTTGCTGTATGGAATTTAACAAGGATAATAAACAATATCAAGGTGTAATTAAAGTAAAAGCAATGAAAAATTTGTATTATTGCTATCTTTTTTACGCACATTGTACACAGATACATAAAAATAGCTTGGTTATACAAAAAAACCGACTTCCTCTTCCTTCTCCCTTTAATCAAGAAACAGGATAAAGGAAGAAGAAGAGAGACACCAAAGGATTCTATTTTTCATTCATTCAATTTACAAAAATATACACCATCTCGGCAACTCACATGAGTTCATATGAAAGGGGGCTTCTTCTTCTTCAAATTTGTCTTGAATTATATACAACAAAAATACGCAGCAAATTCAATATACACACCGTTCTTCGATACTCCATGTTGATCAATTTTCGTGTATCAACAACTTATTTAAAATACCATGTGTAATTTTTTGCTAAACACTTTTATTAGTTACTAAAAATAGAAATTTTGTATTTTTTTTTCTTTTTAGCATTGTATATGTTCTTGGAAATATTCTTTAAAAATTTATCTATTCATTGGTTTTCTCATTATCTATTAATTAAAAGATCTTTGTAACTATAGAAACAACATCTTCATAATAATTTACCAAGTTCCTTTAAAATCATACGAAATGTATTTTTGAATAATCATCCAGTCAGAGTGTTCGGTCTAATTTTAAAAGCTATGGGTAAATTATGATTAATTTATAATAATGAATTAATTAGTTGTAATTTTAAAAGATAAATGTGGGGTAAAGCTTGAGATATAGAATTTCTAATTATATTCGGAAAAGGAAGATCATATTATGGAATTGTACTTGAGATAAGATATTGCCCGACATCCTTTCACAACTTCACATTTGCACCGTCGAGTGGGTTTGGGGAAAGATTTGCTAAGGGATTTGGGATTTCTGCTTTTGGTTATGTCAATGCCTATGAGCTGATGATGATGATATGCATAAAGACCTTTTCATCTTATCTCTATCTTTTAACTTCCCACTTTATGTTGAAAGGCCATCAATGACAATGATTGGTCTTGTGAGTTTAAAACCTAGGATGTCAAGCCTAATACTAGACTAATTAAGTAGTAATTAAGTATATGACAAACGTTGTTAAGGGTGAAAAACTAAATCTTAATTCTCTCACCTAAAAGCTAGCTTCTCTCGCTTGAGAGTTCAATGTCGTCCGGTGAAGGTCGTCGGAGTTGTGACAATCTTGCAGGGTCCATGTATTATTTCCTTCCTATGTGTCTGTTAGTGAGAATTGTCTCTCCTTATTTTATTTCCATTCTCGTCCGTCTAGATGAGTTCCTTTTTTCCGCTACCCCTCTTTTTTTTCCTTCTCTTTTACCTACTTTTTCAGTGCGGCTTATGGTCTGCTTCATTCCTTTTCTCCCTCCCTTTGACCTAGCCTTATGGACAAGATTGAGCTCATCAACCTTTGTTTCTACTGTCGTAGAATTGGGCATTTGGACCGCTCACGTAGCCAAAGATCTTCTGACATTGGTGAGGGCAATCTTCAAGATGGTTATTATTATTATTATTATTATTATTTTCAAAGTGGTGAACAATGGTGCTTGCGTTGCAATATATGCCCGCCCGAAAGAACCGCTCACTAGCTAGCCGGACTAGTGGGGCCCTATCTTTGTGTTCGAACCCAAAAAAAATTCAATGCAATTTAATCGTGTCTTTTTAGGTTCGTTTTAGAGTTGAGTAGTTGACCGGTCCATTTTATCGTGTTTCGTGTAATTTTGCTCTCGTTTTGTGTTTTTGTGTTTTGTCATACTTTCTTGTTTATTTTGGTGTTATTTAGGTCCATTACACAAGCTTCGGAAGATGAGTAATTGATCGAATCATCCGAGTCATTATCCGAACTATTGCCGAGCTGTTCGAGCCGTCCTGGGCCATTTTCGAGTCAAGACCCGTGAGCACGCCAGCGCGCCCGCGCCTCATCAGCACGTCCGCACTCGCCCGCCAATCATCACTCGCGGCCGCGCGAGCGGTCCTCCCAACGCCTGCCAGCTTCACGGGCGCGAAAATTTTCGCCCAGGTCGCGAGTGTTTTTCCCAACACTTGCGACGCAGCTTCTCGCCCGCGACCTCGCGAATCCTTTCCCGCAAGCAGGCATCACTTGCTGCAAGATGTGACTCGCGAGCGCGCGAACACCGACCCAAGGCGCGCCAGCACTCGCTGCGAGACGATATTCGCGAGCGTGGGAGTCCAAGCGCAAGCAGACCTAGGTCTTGCAGCGAACCACCTTTCGAGAGCCCGCAAAGGCGACCCTGGTAGCCCAAGCACACTACACAGTCGCTGTGAAATTGATTTCGCGAATCGACGAATTGCAAAATGAACTAAATGTGTGTATTTTGGGACCCATGTTTCTTCCCATTGTAATTGGGAGCTAGACTTCATTTTTCACTTTTTCCCTCTTGGGAAAGGTTCTCTCTTTTATTTGTCTCTCTATTTTGGTTGGAGCTTTATGACTCGAATTTTCCGGCAACTTTCTGGAGATTTTATTTTTATGCAAGTTTCGAGTTTCGGTTTTCTTTGGGCACTCACCAGGAGAGTGGTCACTTACTTTTAAGCCTCATTACTCCGTATTTGCTCCGTTTTTCCTTATGAAATGTTTCAAAGTGAAATTGGGTGTTGCTTGATGAATGAGGGAAAGTTTGGAACTTTTTGTTTTCATTGCTTGCCTAGGTGATTATAGGAGTTAAATACTTGCTTATCTAGTATAGTTTTAAATATAAATATCTTAATGAAGAAATGGGGGTTGACGGGTGCGGTTCCACGGACGTGAAGCGCACCAAAGCAGGGTGAGCTTAGATGGGCCTTAGTGGGGTCCCATCCTAAAACCAATTGGTCGTAGGAGGAGTAACCCACTAGCTTTATAAATTATGTCTATTTCCTCTGTATAGACGATATGAGACAAATCATAAGTGTATATTCTAACACTTAACAAGTATCCGTGCAGTACACGTGTATTGTACATTAATGTACTAGTACATATAGAAAACAAAATGTTTCAAGTCCATGCATACTTCTATGTCTCACAAATTATAGTTGTATTTACACCATTAAAGCACATTATTATACCAAAATCAATTATTATATAAAATAATTATCACGTGTACTGTTTTCTTGCAATTTGAACTCCATTAATTCCAATTTTTCTTTTTTGCTAGGCCCACTTCCTTGCCACTATGAGGTTTATTTGAATATGTAGCCCAATAATAGATGTCGTGATCTGGTATATATCCCTTCTAATGCATCACCGTCTGGATATTCTAATATAACAAAATAATAATATTACCATTCGACAAATTTAATGTGAATCTTTCTATTCATAGACGACAAAAGCAGCTCTCAAAATCCATTACATAATACAGCTAAACAATAAAACAATGAGCCGAGAAATATTTGCAAGCAGACACTCTTGAAAAAAAAAATAAAAAAATTAATGAACTGGACAAGAGAACAAAAGGGTCAGTCTATTTTAAAACGATTTTTCTGCATGTGATGATTTGATTCAAAAATTTTGGTACATTTTAACTACAATATTGCCTTTTGGTATTGTGTGGTTTTTAAATGTGTTGTAATTTTTTCTCCCGCAAGTGGTTATTGTCATGTGAATGGCATATGCCCTTTGGACCCACAAATCCAAATGTGAAGATGTGATGATAATAACACCAAAGTGACTTTCACCTCAATTCTCTATATATTATTTTTTGAAAATTTATTTTTTTAAATAGTTATGTACACTGATTTGTTGACTATTTTATTTGTATCAGCTGGGAACCACAAACCACTATTCTATGTAGATTAATTCTATGCACTTTTAGAATATAATTTGTTACATCTTTTTAGCCAAAAAGTGGATTATGAAATCTTAACTGAACAAATTGTTAATTACACACTGTCTGAAAACCTTTGTATCTTTTTTCTCTAACCAATGCAACTTACGTTGTAGCATTTAATTTTATCAAAATATTTCACATATTTAGCGAAATTAGTGGGCTAAGGGAAAAATATTAAACGATTGAAAATGTTATTCTGGATTGTGTATATAATTGCTTGGAGACCCTTGGTACCTTTGATAGATACTTTGATATGATAAGATTTTGTAATAGTGATATGACAAAAGGGAGAGGTACATTGGGATGTTGATTATGTTGTTTTGATGCTAAAAATTGCTTTGGATTCAATTTGTGGTGCTTGAATTATTCGATATTGACAAATGGTGTTTCACTAATAATATTATTACATGAAAGCCCCAAATTTCTTTAGTCTCTTTATGTTAGAATACTTATTCAAGCCTATAGGCTAGAACAAATAAAATATATATTTCACTTGATCTAACTTAAAATCGCGTTTGGCTCAGTTTACTTTTGCAACATATAAACAAAACTTGATACTTAATTGTCATACTTTAAAATACAATATACTATAAATAAATACATGATATTTAACAATAGTATGGGTATATGGATGACTAACAATTAGTCAGACTATAAAAGCACGTGTGTTTTAAAACTGAAGGTAGAGCTAGTTTGACACATCAACGCAGTCCAATTTAGCACATGTATGCTTCTACGTATGATGAAAATCAAAAGCCAACAACTTTCAGCCACAATTAGCAATTTATCATACAACACAAACATATATTTCTCAAATTGGGACACCTATGAATCACATCACAGTCCAATATTGCATTACAAATGTATATCATTATTACTAAGAAATAAAAGACATGAGCAAAAAGATCACAAAATCCCCATATATTTTCCAAGTCTTAGAATCTGTATAACTCCTTTTCCATGCACTGATCAAAACAGGGCAAATTTCATACCAAGAAGTGTAAAGGTATCATGATCTTTGAACTATTTTTCGACAAAGAACGAAAAACAAACCAAAAAAAAATCGTTTATCAAGAACAAGAAGGTGAATGGACTCCGAGCTCCTTGATGCGGACCCCACCATTGCGCGTTTTGAGTTTCGTGGAGAAATCGTGAACGGCATCTTGAATTTCCACGAATGCCACGAGAAATTCGGCTGCATCTGCCTGACTCAGCACCTTCTTAACTGCCAATTCAAGTGCCTTCATCCTGTTATTACACAAAAGTTCCATCTACCTACTTAGTAATTTTATTATATAATGGTACAAAAATTAGGAAATTTGTTCGGACCAAAAAACAAAAAAAGTGATTAAAGCTACCAAAAAAAATTAACATAGGTTGAAATTTCTAAAACATCAATGTTGTATTTATCACAAATATACTTCATATTGAGCCTGATTACTGAAATTCATGTGAAATGACAAATATTGTAACGTGTTTCATTTTTATTTTCTTGTAATTTAGGTAAAATTAGAAGTGGTTTTATGCAACTATTCCCAATATTCTTCAGGGAGAAAGGTAAGACATATTGGACCTTAGGTTTTGGGCCTTGACAATGACCCGGTGGATTTTCTTGAACTCGGACCGCACACAGGCCAACGCAGGCCTGCTTCTCGATGGGCCGAACGGCAGGTGAAGAACACAGTTGGATTGGATCTCGGTCATTTCCTCGTCGATGACAGCCTCTTCTATCCGTATGTCATTGATGAGTTGGGCGAGGTCTCGCTCAACGCTAGCCGGGTCCCACAAAGAGTGGGCCAACGAGCGTAGCAGCTCAAGGATGGTGGAGGGCCGCCAGTCTCCGAGCCAGCACAGGGCGGCTAGCTCGTGGGCGGGAATCCACTTGGGCATGAGGAGTTGGGCCACATCAGTCATCTTGGTTGGAAGCATGGCCCGGTTGTTGTGGGCTTGGAATCGGCCCATTATCTCGTCGATCAGCTTCTGGATGGCCCATCTTGCCTTGAGCTGTTTTTTCAGCTTTTCGGCTCCTCGCCTCTGTTCTTGCCTCCAAGATCCGTATTTCTCACAAGACAGAGATTCATCTGGTTTTGATTTTGAACCAAAATTGTTAAAAATTGAAAAATTAAATAAAATTGCTGCGATGAGAGAGAAACAGAGAGAGAGAGAGAGAGAGAGAGAGAGAGAGAGAGAGAGAGCGCTATCAACCCCAGATGGTTTATGCATTTTTCAAGAATCCATTGATTTGTACACGAAAAAACAGCTCGAGAAGAAAAAACAAAACAGAGGAACACAGATAAACAAGAAATTTCGAAATACCAGATTGAAAATCAAGAAGAAACTGACCCCTTTTTTATGTTGGGATTTCAAGATCAGGGCAGAAACTTCTTCGGATTTCAGGATATAAAAATTGAATTTCTGAGACAAAAATTGTGAGAATGAAAAAAGATGGAGTCTTTACATGGCTTTCTGGGCTCTGGCATGTTGGGCTTCATGCAGTTGACGTCTCTGATTGGTTGGCCTTCGACTTTTAGTAACTTTTCATCGTCTTCTTCTTCAACTTCCTGTAAATGTTTCCTGCGAAAAAAAGATGAAAAAAAAGTAAGTAGAAATGCATCGTCTGTGGGTGGGGGTTCGTCAACACGAAAATCAAAAGCAAATATAGTAATAAGATTGAATAATTTGTTTACAGCATGAGTTGAGATGCGGTTCTCCTCATTTTCTTCTGCAACTTGATCGTTTGTAGGCTATAACTTGGTGGGGAAGATGGAAATGGCTGAAATGGAGAAGGGTTTTATTCTTGTTGAGGGAAAGCTGAAGATTGGAACGAGGGATTACTGGGCTCGAGCTAATTTAAGTAATGCTGCTAAAATAATAGCACATCTTATTTAACCAACCGTTGGTAACATTATTATTATTATTTTTTTTATTTTTTTTTTNTACAAGTTAAAATTATTTTCTTTAACTAGTAAGTACATATATATCCGGTGACAGTAAATAATATTAATGTTGTATTTATAAATTAAATGTAAAATTATACAAACACATTTTACCATATATATGTAATTAAAATTGAAAATTAAATGTAAAATTATAATAATACAATTTATCATACATTAATTAGTTAAAATTAGGATTACCGCACATTTTGTCTATGAAAACCAACCTATCATTCAATATGTATTTAAAGTGAAAATATTTATTTTTACCTCAACATATAAGTGTACTGAGTTTTCACTCTGTCATTTGAAAAGTTATATTGTTCACCCCACAAAGTATGAGTGATTGTACGATCATTATGCGACCATTGTGCTATCACTATATGATTGATTATGCGATCATCTGATGCCATATGTGGTATGATCGTTGTTTCACCATTGTGCAATCTTTTTTGCAGAATCTGGTGTAAAAAAGAAGTGTCTTGAAAATGTAGTGTGTAAAAAAATGTATAACTATTTATAAAAACGGGTATTCTAATGGGGGAACTTCTGTTTTGCTCGTGACTTGAGTGAGAAACCGACTTGTGGTTGACCTCTTAGACTTATGACCTGCGAGTGAAGAGCCATGCATGTAGCTGCCTACTATGCTTTTGTAGGTCGCCTATCGGTCGTTTGAACATCAGTTTTGATCTAATAAATTTACTTTTATCGATTAAAAAAAAACATGTAAAAAAACAACTCAAATATGCTCATCTTTATTCACCCTTTATAAAATAGATGTGAACATATATATTATACATATATAGAAACAAGAAAAAATTTCAAATTTTATAATAGAATGAAATAAATCTTGGTTGTCAGAATTAGTTAGAGTAAATATCTTATTATCTAATATTATATATATTATTACTAATACAGATCATTCAAATATTCAAACACCACCATTTTTTATGAAAAATTTTTGGATTTAAACTAAGATAAGGTGTTTGTTATCATTCATGATGCTAGCAGAGGTCGTCGTCCTTTGTGTGGCAGCTCTTCGTCGGTCCGTGGATGTCGGTGAAGTATCTTCAGATCTAACTAGACGTTCGAATGAAGTGCAGTTTTCAAGTACATTGGCTTCAAATTTGCTGCTCTTTCGTCGTCTGTGTGCTAGTTGACTTCCAAGAGTGTTGAGGGTAGTTGTTGTGTTGCTGGCTTGCTGCTGGTAGCTTTAGTGTGCAACTATAGGCAGCTCAAGGCGTGGTCTTCGTGGTGGGTTTGGTTTAGCTAGAGTATGAGAGGTTTTATTGTATCTTTAGATTTTATATATATTTTTATCTGTGTTTTTTGTTTGTTATTCTCCAGTGTTGGAGTTGTATTATCTACTTGTGAGAGTATTTTAATATTTTTTTAGTATGTGTTTGTGTCTTGTGGTTTCGGCTATTTAAGCTACCTTAGCTTAGACTTCCCTTTAGATTCACCTTAGTAGGTGATTGATTCGCTTTTTTGGCTGTTCTAATCTGTAATTATTTGTGTCATTATTATAATGTCTATCATTTAAACAAAATGATTCATACTAAATCGGGTATCGGATAAGTTTAGGGATGTCTTGGTCAAATTTTTTTAATTTGAAGTTGATAACTTTTATTTTTAGTAAACTAAAATTATTTTGATATTTATCATCTTACTTACTTTAGTAAATGTCAAACTTTATATATAAATACATATTTCATTTTGTCTCTCTCTTTGTTTCTTTTTTAAGATGAAGAATGGAGGAACCCTTTTGAAACAAAATACCAATAATAAACCTTCTAGGGTGGCAAAAAGCTAGTCGAGTCGAGCAAATGTCCTTATTGAGCCAAGTTCGATTTTTTTAATTGCTGCTCGAACTCGACTAGCCAAGTTTGTTAAGGCTCTGCTCGGTTCGGTTCGGCTCGACTCAACAATATTGTGCAAGTAATAGAGATTGCCAGAGAATTTTGCTCGATTTTTGCCGAACTTAGAGGCATTTAGGTAATTACACATATACTTTAATGACTTATCGAGCATCGATCAAATTTGTTTTCCCAGGAACAAGGCCTGCAAAAGAACACATAATTTTCCATTACCAAGTGAGGTTTTACATAACTATTAGATTATATCCAGCTCTGCCCCAACATAACAACATGTGATTTTCATCACCAAACAGCAAACTGGGCATGGTTCCAGGAGAATTCTACTCCTCAACATAACACAATATTTACAGAACCAGAGTCATTGAGTCGAACTAAAGTATTTACAAAACCAAAACACAAATTGCCATCCTTACAACTCTGCAGAAAATGCAACATATATACATCAACAAGAAACACCTACAGTTATTCAGGACTACTAAAGTTCATCACCCATTTCCAAGATGGTTTCCACAGAGGCCACGCACATCACCGTTCGACTTCACTCTGCCCCAAAAACTAAAATTTAGTTATTTAACACAAAACCGAATATCCCTTTCACCGAGAATTTGGAATTGTCGTGTTTGTCCCTTCTTTAAAAAGGATCTTCGTGACATTCGTAGGAAGCCATTTCGAATTCCCACCTTCTTGACTGCACCCCTTCTCATTCTTCCTGTGGTTACTTAATCTTCTTCCAACATTTTTCCCCACAAATGTTCCGACTTTCACAACCGTGAGCAGGCCAGACGCTACAGTAATGGGCCTCACGGCCCAATGGAAATCCTCAACCAGTTTGTATTTCTCCACAATACCGGGACACGTGTCGAAAGACACTCGCTCCACCTCCTCAGGATGAGCCAAGAAAATTCCCATCCCGTCCCTGAAAACGAACCTTCCAGGAAATTCAATCCCGAGACACCCATTCGAGAAAATTTGCGAGACTTTCCCACAGGCCCAAGCCTCTCGCCTCTTGTGGGGCCACTCGAAACGTGGATTCTTGATCTCCGCCTTCAACCTCACAAAATGTCCCACGAAAAAAGGCTCGACTTTCCTGATTTCGTCAAAATTTCCCCTCCAAAGAACCTCCAACCCTAGAAAACCTACGGCAACACACCCATCACGACCTATGTGGTGTAAAATCCCAAGAGATGAATGCTCCCGACTCTCTTTCTTCAGGCGGACCCAATCCCCCGATGAAAAACCAAAACTGACCCTCTCTAGAGATGAAACATTTAATCTGAGGTGGTTGTGCGAGTTTGGGATACGGACGAGGGCAAATCCGTCTTTCTCGCTGTTATTGTCTAACCCAACCACGACTCCTTTGGTTACAGCTGGGCTTAAGGGTTCGGACGTGCTTGGGGCTTTTCTTGATTGGACAGTGTCACCAACGTGAAGAGTATTTTTCAAGAGGTACCAAGTGGTATAGCCACGGGATTGTGATTGAGCCACACAAAGGTTGCTCGTCAAATCACTCCAAGATCCATCACTGTGAATGGCATTCCTTGATCTGCCATGCCAGAAATCTAATTTTGAGCAAAATTCGTAATAGAACTGTGGAATTTTGGGAAAATATTTCTGCTTTTAGAAGAACTGGTGATTTTCGGGAAAATATTTCTGCCAGACCAGAAATCTAACCTTTCGAACGCCTGCAAAATGTCCGACATCAAAGGCCTGTTGCGCAAATCATACTCGAAGCATCCCTTGAGAATGTCTTCCACTTCAGGAGGAAGACCATCGGGAACCAATGGCTTTTCTCCACGTATAACGACTGCATGATGAATCTCCTCAATAGATTGTCCAAACCAGGGTGGAATTCCAGTCAGCAATTCTATCATGCTGCATGCAAATCCCCACGAATCAGTCTCGTGGGATATTGGGCCTCTCACACCAGGTTCCCATTGTTCAGGTGCCATGTAGTTTGGGGTCCCAAGCCTGGATGCTAAATCGGAATCGAGCCAGGGAATCCCGAGGAGTAGGTGTGGGATCCCAAAGTCCCCGAGGGCAATATGGTCACGTTCGTCGAGAAGGAAATTATTCGGCTTGAGATTTAGCACCAGGGCCCCTATTTGGTGAAGCTGTTGAACTCCTTTGGCTACTTCAATACCGTATCTGAATATTCATCCAAAGGGTATTAGTAACGGATTTACTTATATTTACTGTGATAAAAGTGATGAAAGGAAAGAAATATAAAAGTTTATTCCAAGTTAAGAAAGTGCTCTGTGAATCTGTTGTAAGCGTGTGTATTAATGGGTAAAAGTCAAATCAACCTGCTTTACGATTTTGAGTGAATTATGTAGAACCACAGATCAGAAGTTTGCATTTCAGAACACTAATAGCAGTAATTTGAATTTAAAATGAGAGTATCTCGATAATTAATTGTAAAGTATTTCACTTGTATAGAAAGTCGATAAAGACGCATATGCAGAAATAGAAATCCTAAAGCACGAGTCGCGCCAAGTTCTGACAGATCAAGATCGCTAGTCGGCTGTTGAAAACACTAATAAACCTGATAGTCACCTTATTAAGTATTTGCTGGAGACACTCCCTATATTTCATGCTTACAGGTTGAGTTCCCTACTAACGAATGAAAGTGAAACTACAGAAAGAATACCTGAGAGTTGTGATGATTACAAATAAGACACAGTTTTTAGGAAAAATACAAAACATCCCCATCAGGTCTGATTTTGTCTCAAATTGTCCAATTTGTACGCAGAAAGTCATTTCCAAACCCCCCTTAAAACAGTTACGGAAAGATCATGATTACCCCCTATACCATCAAGGCAAAATAAATAAAAAATAAAACCCGAAAAGCAACAGAATTTTCTTTACCTCAATATGTCGGGTAGTGGAAGTTTTCCTCCTTTCACATGCGCCAATCGGTCGCCCACCGACCCTTCATATGATCTGAGAGCTATGCATATCTATCAAACAGACAATTACAAACAACTTAACATCCTAACCTGTAAAAAAATAAATAAATAAATGGCGGCAAGACACAAAAAACGGACCTTTCCAGACAGCACCGAGATGCCGTGCAACCAGCACACGCTATCCATCCGCCTCGACTTAAGCTTCACCCACAAATGCTCAAACCTGCGTAAAAACTCGTTTATGTTCCCCACCGGATGCACCATCTTGAGTGCAACCTCATGGTGCTCATCGTAGTCCGTGCCTGACTGGTGATGCGTGGCCAACCAAACATCGCCTAAAGGGCCGTGGCCGATTCTGTACTTGAGCTTCAATGAGGAAGGTTCAACGTGTGGGCCCGGCTGAGATGGCGTGGCGTTTACCGTCTTCAGCTGGTCGGGATCTCCTTCGTACAGCTCGTAGTCGAAATGAGCGACTGACGGGAATGCTTTGATCTGTTCTGTCATTTTGGGGACTGGAAAAGAGCAAAAGGAATTGAGAAAAATGGGTCGTTTAATAAGTGGGTTTTGTTCAGCTTGGAGTAAATTTTAAGAGGCAAATTGGCAGCAAAATAAGTGGATACACTCAAAGAGCGAGTGGAACATCCTTTTTCATGATTACACGCAAAATTAGGGAACAATCGACTCCGATTGTGAATCTTATGAGCTAATTCTTAATTTCACAGTTTCCGTTCACACTTTTACAGCTGAATTTTGAAGTTCTGCCATCTCAAGGCAACCATGATCAAGGGGAAAAAATTGCTAGGTATTATCATAAGCTTCAGGCAATGGTTAAATGAATTAGAACAGAAAAATAAGAATAAAACGCAGAACGTCGGATAATTGAAGAAATTTTCAAAAGCATATTTCACATACCTTGACAGTAAAGAGACAATCGAGTGTGAGAAATCTTGATCTTGTTTTCTATAAAAAGGAAAAGATAATTCAAAAAAAAAAAAATATGAAAAGGAAAAAGAGGGAGATGCTAATGAAAGAAAAGCAGAGTTGAGAGGATGCACAGAACTCAACCCAAGAGGCGACAAGAAGAGTATCGCATTGTGGTAGCTTTACAATTAATAAGTCAACTAGTAGTTGATGCACAAATATAAATACTAAAATATTATACATTATGTGAATCTATAAAATATGTAATAGGTATATAATAGATATATCACATTTTACAACTTTGATCTTGAACAAATAAACAATATAAATATAAATTGTTCACCCCATAATCACTATGCAAAATATCATTTTTTATCCAGAAAAACTTGATGAAGTAAAAACGAGAAATTAGCGAAGTATTGAACAGAAAAATTTCATTACAAGGCTCAACTTTTTGTAATTGTATCAATTTAAGGCCTGAATTTTATTCTTTCTCAATAGAGGGCTTATATTTCAGATTATTCTCAATTTAAGGCCTACTTTTTTGGTTAACTTTTCACTGCAAGGCCCAACTAACTTTACTTTTTAACATTTTATAATAAAACAATAATAAATATCTTTCATAAAATTACATTAATAATAAAATAAAAACTATATAAATTACAATTATGCAAAAATTTAATAAAGATTATTTTTAATAATAAAATAAAACTATATAAATTACAATTATGCAAACATTTAATAAATATTATTTTTACTAAAGATACTTATTATTTTTTATTATAAGTATGTAAAATATATATTACAAGAAAAAAAATAATATTTTTGTTAACATAATAATTGGTTCACATATTTATGTCAAAAAGTAAAGTTAGTTGGGCCTTGTAATGAAAAGTTAACTAAAAAATTAGGCCTTAAATTGAGAATAATCTCAAATGTAAGCCTCCTGTTGAAAAAGAATAAAATTCAGGTTTTATATTAATACAATAACAAAAAGTTAGGTCTTGTCATGGAATTTTCCCAATATTGAACCATCTATTAAAGTCTTCAAGCTTCAATTAGTTGCACCGAGAAAATCAGAGTAAAAAAAGATTGTGTCTTGGTGAAGAACTAAAAACCCTAAAAATAGTGTCTTGGAACTCTAAATATTTCAAAGGAGAATTTACAATTTTGAAAAGAAAAACTAAAAACTTCAAAAGTAGCAAATGAGGTAAGAATGCAAAAAGTGTGAAGGAGCCCGGTCTCGTTGCTGGGTGCTCGGCTCGAGTTCGTGGAGTGCTCGATTTTCCAGAAAATATCGACACTTCTTCTTCAAAGTTTCGAATGGTACTTGATTACACGCTCGTCTTGGACTTCAAATAAAGGCTCGAGCGGAACATTTCATGAGCATAATTAAAATTTTTTTACCGTACCTACAAAACACCAAAAAACAAAGAAAAAACGAAAATACACGAAGAACAACATAAAAACTAAAAATACTAGAACTGGATAACATGGTCCGGTAAAACATAGTTAATAGCCTAAAAATGGCTCGACTAGCCACAATAAAAAGTTATAAACACGAAAATAAGAACAAAAACATAAAAATCGTGTTTTTTTTAGACTTTTTGAAATCTCAAATGAATATTTTAAGCCATTTAAATTTTAAAAATTCCAAGAAAATATACCAAAATACTTGAAAGCTCCAAAAGTTCTTAAAAATTCAAAATAAATACGACCTTAAATTAAACATTCACTTCAATAATTCAATTATAGGACAAGCATTTCACAACCTTACTTTGAGCTTAACCAATAACATAATCCCCAGAAAAACTCCTGTTTTTTCTTGCTTGCTCACATTACATAAAATTCCCTACTTAGCTCATATCATAACTCCTAAAAATCAGAACCATCCAGCTATTTCAATACTATAATAACTAGTGTTGGACTTTTTAGTCTTCGTACGATAGTCCTCTCGAATAATATTCCAATGCATTTCCTTTCGGACGTTGAAATCTTGAACATGACAGTAACCCCTTCAGACAATGATTTCGAACATCAGTGGTAATTCGATGATGTGTCTCTATCCCACGACGACATTGTTTCCTGAAAAAAAGAAAAAATGTCAGTTCTTAAGCAACAACTGATACAACACTAGTAGATGTCTAGATATATCATTATATGAAATAAATTGGTCAGAACTTGGGAAGTTTAGTAACATTAAATGTGTGCAAGTGTTCATAAAATCATGTCTTTTCCAATTTAGTAAGTCACCCTTGTAGAAATTGCTGCATTAGATCTCAAATGTGTTTACTTACACTTGTCCACGTTTGTTCTTGAATTGCTTTGGAGTATTTGGAGCAAGGTCGATTCTCATATTCTGGATGAAGTAAAGCTGCAAAAACCAAATGAATGTTTGTTAGTTAATATATAACCAAATAGCGTTGTATATCTGAAAAGATACAATAATAATCAGCAGAAAATTCTCAAAACAAACAGAGATCATCCGGCACGTTTTTTCTTACGAGCAGCATTTCTTTATTATCCAAACGGTAAACGACATATCAACTATTTTTTCTCACGGGGACTAAATTACAGCACAAGAAGTAGAGACAGACCTGATCACCATCTTTGATACCATACTTCTGAATGCAAGCTCGGTCGCTAATGATATTTCGACCATTGTGACACAAACAAAAGTGGCTCCACACAACAGACCTGTCAGCAGATAGTTTCTTGAAACTTTATCGACATTTATATGCCCTACAATTAGTATGTATTTTGAAAGTTCCTAAATTTTGATACTGGTAGCACTCTTTCTATTGGGACACAACATTTTCAAGATACTTTCCTAAACAAAATACAATCTTGCTTCCTTTTTTCCCCACATTTGTGTGAGGAAGAAAGGATTTGATCCATGTAAGGAATTGCAGCTAATTATATTTGCTATTAGGATGAAATTTGCCCACATCTCTATCAGGTAAATAGATTTGTAAAATATATTTAACTAATACACAATTACTTGCTGTAATTTTTTCCTTGAACAAAAAAAGAGGATCTTTTTACCGCCATACCATAATTTTTTGTTTTCATCCTTGAAAGAAACACAAAATTCCTCCTCAACAGCTGATTTCAGCATAGACACGGTAGCATTTCTGGCTATGTGAACACCTGCAAATTCAAACAACATCTCAAGTATTCTCGACCATATGACCTTATATACAACAAAAGGAGAAATAAAAAATACACTCAAATTTGAAAATAAAAACAAAAAAAAAATGGAACATGTTAGTATTTACTGAAACAAGAGCCATCCAATTTTAGAACAGAGAGGTTAACGAGATGTTCTGGGAGCTTTTGGTATTGAAGCTTCTTGCTGTGAAGAGAAAATGGAGCAAAAATGATGCTGGCTTTACTGTTGATTTTCGTTTTCGGCAAAAATTTCACCATTGAATCTTTAGTTCTTCTAGTTTTGCTGCCTAAATTTTGTAGATTTATATGAGAGGAAGAAGAAAAAGGGGTGGAGGTTATGTATGTATTTGAAAAAGTTGACCGTTGTTTATGTTTCGTTCGTCTCGAGGGAATGTTTGGCAGCATTCGCATATATCTTTTATGATTTATATTTTAATGATGCAATTTTTTTAAATATCTTTATTATTTTCAGATTTGAGCTTCTTTTTT